GTGGTCGGATTATTTAGCCCGCCAACGGGCCCACAAACGCTGCCTAGGCTTCAGCACCCCTCGGAAGTGAATATCTGGCCGACAGTCCCCCGTGCTCTCCTCCACGTTCTCATCGCTGAATAGAGGCTTCCGTCCTCGTTAGCCTTTTGTCAGGAACCGTGTTAACGGGGATTTACACATTTTGGGCAAGTAACAACTGACAACTAAGAACCAGAAGCATTCGTGGGGGATAGTGAAGGTAAAAGATAATACTTGACCAAGAAATTAAGCAGCAGACAAGCATATTAATCAACTTTATTACTATCTTCTAAAATCTAAATAACGTTCTATTTCAACCAAATTCGTGTTTTTCTACTCCATACATGCATGTAGAACACAAATCAACCACTCAATTTGACATAATATATTTGAAGAAGGAAAAATGGGAACAATAAAAATAAAAAAAAAAAAGAAGAAGAAGGACTACCTTAATATTAGTGATGGAAATCTAGAATCAACCAGAGAGTATTGTATTCAAGAATAAAATCATGAGAATCTTATAACAAGAGATTTTTTTTTTTTCATTGAAATGAAGAAAATGGTGGAAGAAAGTTTTTAGTAGTTTGTAGCTGTGTAGGAGTAACGCTTAAAAGTGACGGTACTGAGCATATCTATATCTATATGTATTCAGGAAGGGGGTTTTTAGCAGAAACCCTCTCAATGACTTCTAAACTTCTCATTCTTTTTTCTAGATTTTTGTATTTATTTTAATACATAAAATGTAGTGGGTTATAACCCACCTTATCACCCATCAATATTCCCACTATCTCACTCCCACTATCCCACTATCTTAACTCATTCTACAACCACTCCTACAAATTCTCTTTTCCTACTATCCCACTATCTCACTCCCACTCTCTCTCAGTTTCTTATTTGTTTTTGGTTCTCTATTCATTTTGTAAATGTATTGATTTTGTTTCTTTTATGAGTAGTAGTGGAAGATATTATATGCAGAGATTTTAGCAGAACTCAACCTTCTTGCGGAGAATTGGAAGTATATTCTTACCAACTTAATTTTCCAGGTCAGTCCCCTCTGGCCTTTAAGTATATTTTGCTTTTGCTTTGCTTTTTGTCATGAATGATATGGCATTGATTTTCTGATCATCCATTATTTGTGAAAATTTTTTACAAAATCCTAACAGTTGTTTGCTTATTGTTACATTGTAAAGCAAAGATAATCAGTAGTGGGATAAAGTATAAACACAAAATCGCAATCACATTTCTAACATAAGGTATTGCTTGCTTATATAATTGCGGATGGTATAGGTTCATGATTGAGGGTTTTACTATTTCTAACATAAATTGTATATTATAAAAATTTATTTGTTTGTATTACTGAAATTTTTTAATTATTTTTATTGCACATTTATCACATAAAAAAGGTATTACGATAGTTATTTTCATAATTTTATTCAAAAAATGATCGTGCATAAAATAAAAAATAATAAAAAATGGTTTATAATTAGAGAAAAATAATTCAGATACTACTAATAACTAAGGCACTATACGCCCATTATTAAAATTGGATTAATTTTTAATTTCGTCAGAAATCCTTTTGGCAAAATTGCATCTAGCCTTTCTTTTCTTTATCATTTTCTCTCTGCATTGACTGCAATAATTTTCACTTCACTTTTAATGGGTGGGCTTTCAAAGTTGGTAGAAAGAGAGTTTATTAGCATTCAAATAACTGTTCTGTGTTGCATCTTTTTAAGATGCTAAAGAAGGCATGAAACTTCTTTAATGATGGTATCCTATTTTTTAGAGTTTGAGTCACAATATTACCTTTATTTTTGGTATTTTTGTATTTTTGCATCCACTGAATTAGAAAAAACGCGTCCTTCTAAGTTTGGATAATGTTCAGTAGTGATGCCAAAAACCTAACGATATCTATATGAAAAAAAAAAATCCAACGGACATAATTATATATCATACCAGATATTAGGAAATTAACTGCATAAAGGAAATAATCCTGACTCATATTTCGGCGCTCTATCTGACTCAAGACAGTGATTTTTAAAAAAAATCTGGTTTCTCTTGGTATTTGAAAAATTTTGAATTCTAACTGAAATTAAACCAAAAGAATAAATTAAAAATTATAGAGACTGCAAAATTAAAAGACAATATTGAATTGGATATTAAAAAATGGTTTAAATATAGTAGGGACTACGAACCAAAATATTTGAAAAATAATTCTGTATCCCAAAAATAAAAAAAAAATCTACAAGAATAAACTCATTTTTCCAAAAAAAAAAAGAAAAGAAAGGAAACCCATAAGAACATACGCCCTTTTCCAAATTTAATAATTTATCTACATTATGAACATATTATAAACTAATACATTCCTTTTTATTTAATATTAAAAATTGATTTTAAATATACAAATGATAGCAGATGGAATGAAGCAGTTAGCGACATGTGAAAAAATCGAAATTGACAAAAGCAATTAGAGGGATAATTTCGCACAAAATTCGTGGGTTAAAGTGCAATTTGAGGTATAGATGGGAGGCATTTTAGTGCATTTATTGGTTTGTTTTCAATAAGTGGTGATTGGTTTTGCGGGGTTTGGGGGGTCTACATATACCAAAATATATTTATATAGGGATTACTTCATTAACTATGCGTGCTAATAACAATTCTATTGGTGCGTATTTTTCATTTGATTACAACACAATTGTATTAAATTCTATTGATGCTACTTCTATATTAACTATTGTATTTTTTTGTTAACAATTCTCATACAATGTATCACTTACTACACATAAAATAAATACAAAAAATATTTATTTTTGATTTAATATATCTATTTTTTCTAGATCAAAGAAATGAAAATATTGCCTTTCTTTAAGTTCAACAGCCATCCGCATCACTAATACTTTTGCGTGATCATGGTAAAGATACATTTTTTTATATCGTCAAAGATCGTGCATTTTCATTTGTAGTACACACTTCACAAAATTCAACATAGTTAATTAAATCATTAATTTTGGCTTTCGTACTAAAAGTGGATTGGTGTGACGAGTGTTCGCACCTTCAAGAAAGATTATCAAATCGAATGCTTAGTATTTGTAACTATTTCATTTTAACAATATTCAATTACATTCATTTGTAGAAATATATCATTCCCTTTTTTAATATAAATTTTAATTTTATTTTCAGAATCCATCTTTCGAAAAAAGACAGTTTTTGAATGATATACACATTCCATTATATTTCAAACTATTGTTAAACAGATATTACATTTAAATTTTGTTGGTTCAATTTTTTCACCTTTATTTGTTAACCATTTTATTTTTTTTCAATAATATCAAGTACCGTGCGTAGCACGGGTATTCACACTAGTTATGATGTATTAATCATCACGTCACGTGATATATTAGGTGTGGAGTTGGTATTATATATACCTGATTGAGTGATATTAGGAGGGGAGTTTGATCGATATAGGTGATTATTGAACACTTGATTAATCCAAAAGATAAACATGAAATACTATGAAGTGACAGTAGAGTGTATGTATGTTGTTTATCCATTCCCACCAGTTGGCACGACATATTTTGTTTTGTAGATATATTAATTATTATTCGGTGATGAGGTTCTATCCATCAAGATGACGTGGGACCTGAAGATGGTTGGCGGTGGAGTACCGAAAATGGTGAGAGTACGACTTTTTTCAATTAGCGACAAACGACGGCGACACATAGGGGCAGGAGGAAAATAGAACAGTACCAAAGCATCAACGTCTCTTCGCTTACTCTTTAATCCGGCTTTCTTTTTCTCGGTGCTTACGCTTTTTTTATCTGGCGTTAAGCTCCCCGCTGATGGACGTCATATTCCTTTCACAGCATCTTGCGTGAAGCAAAAGCGTATTAAACGAGTGAATATTTTAGGGAACTTGTAAATTATTCGTCAATTTTTGATTTCTCATTTATTTCAAAATTTTAAATTAGCACTTCAATAATAAAAAGCGTCAGGTTTTGGTCTATTTTCATTATTAAACAGATGGTTTCCTGCTACTTTTGTCAGCTGTGGTTTTTTTTTTTTTTTATGCTTGAGTTGATTCTTCGATGATGTGGAGATGGGGAGTTAAAAGACATAATAGGCCTTGTTTGGATTGTGATTATTTACAAAAAAAAAAAAAAATCTACATTTTTTTTGTAAATAATTCATTTATCCAATTTTTTAATTGTCTTTTTAACTCATATACTGTGATATTGTAAAAAGTGTTGTAGTAGTAATATTTCTCTCAAAAGCTTTCCGAAAATCGCAATCCCAATGGTCTGTTGAAATGACCATTTGGACTCGTATTTGATAGCGAGTTTTCGCTCTTTCTTTCTCTGAGTCAAGGTTGAAACGCAAAACAATTTTGATTCTAAAAACAACGCTTTCAATGGATTCCGTTCATACGGATACCAGGCTGTCCCATCTAATCCTTAGTAGCGTGTTGTTTAGTCCTCCTCCTTTTTTTTTTAAAAAAAAAAAAAAATTTATTTAAACCCTCTTATATTTATTGGTCTTCTACACTTCAATTTTACTTGGGGGCGATGTTATTCTTCCGGCCCTTCAGAGGTAGTCAGAAATTTCGATTACGCCATTAAAAGTGGCAAACTATCGAGTTAACCTCCAACCAAGAAAACTTTTTGCTACCTTGGAGGTCTAAAATAAAATTAAAACATATTTTTGTTCAGGAAAATTCTTTTTCTATTTTCTTCTCTTATTTGGGTAAATTTTTTACTCACCTTAGTACATCCTGACAGAAGCAAATGGGAACAAATGCTTCAAACAAAACAAAAACAAAAAAAAAAAAATTGAAGAGCTAGAATTAGTCTGTTAATTTTTCATAGTGCTCATCAATATGCCGCACCAAATTTGGGAGAAGTTACCAAACCTGCTTTCTGTTTTAATTAGTAGTCTCTTTCGAGTTGTTAACGATTGATTGGACTCGACTCTTTACAAAAATAAATAAATAGACAATCGCACTCCACTAATCTTGTCTTAATTTAACTTGCCAACAACATTTTAGCCCTTTTCTACATTCATACGTTGGGCTTGGGCTTCTGGCAAGAAGAGTAGAAATGTAGCTTCCACTGCCCATTTATGTACAGATGGGGAAAGGTAGAAAAAAGAAAACTTGCCCCATAGTTCGTTCAGGGCGAGTTTGTACAGCAGAAAAGGCTCAATAATAAAGGCCCATTTACATCGTTTTCTGATTTTCCGACAAACAAACTACACAAACAGTCTATTTACAACTAAAGAGAAAAGAAAAGGAAAAAATAAAAGAACTGAAGCAAAATTTGACGGGGCATCATTTCAGGAAATGGACAGCTTTCTTACTTTGTGAATATATCTGCGGCATACAGGGCAAGTCTTGGTTTCCCCTTCGGTAATCCTGCACCATTAATCCCTCTGTAAGTTTCAGAAATACTGGGAATGAATGAATATGGAAAAAAAAAATTGTTTTTTTTTTTGGGGGGGGGGGGGTTAAAATTTTAAGGTCAAACCTTCGGGCACAAATGGAACAAGTAGCACAGTGACCACAAGGGATGAAGAAGCAATTTCTTCGCTCGTCATAGCAAATTACACAAATCTTTCCATCATATAAATCGTCCGAGGGACTGCTACTGCATTTTGCAGACTCTAAATCTTCTTCACAGGTCCCATAGGTGAATGGAACCACCTCTTTTGCTAGCAATGTATTAGTTTCAGTTGCAGCCCGAGCCGCCGTGGCCTGGCGGTGAATGCTGCTGCTACTACTGCTAGCATCTCCATCGCAATGTCCCAAAAGTTTAATGATCAGTGCAACAATCATCATCAGCAAGGCTGAAAAACCATTAAAAAAATTGAATGTACAAATAAAATTAGTTTCCCTGCATCACTGAGTTGCAAGACAAATCCTAAATTATTATTGGGGAATGTTCCATTGACTTTTGCGATGTCAGAAGCCACAAGCAACGTAATAAACTAATGCTCTACAGAGCTCTTCGTTTTTTTTTTTCATATAAACTAATGCTCTATGATGAAGCATTAATGTGGGAGAAACCCACCCAAGATTGCGACATAAATGACGATGCGGCTGGCAAAAGCAAGCGCGATGCTCCACTCGTTCTGTTCATCCTGCAATCAATGAGACGGACCAAACAGATTAAAATCTTGAAATTGAGGTAAAATTGGTTGCCAAAGGAAGAAGAAAAAAATGAGAAATATTTTTACATCATGGGTTGTAATCAGGATGGCACGGCTGTTGGTCATCATGTGAAGTTCACTGGCCGGAGTTGTTGGAAAGCGGTATGCCATTTGACAGGTTTTTGTGGGTATTACTGCTGTTATCTTCTGTTGGGCTCTCTCCTCCTCTGAAATTGGAAGTGGTGGAGTTTGATATTGCTGCAAGATACGGGAAAAAAGTAAGAAGAGGGAGCCATAGATTAGAGAATCTGGCATGTGTGAGGCGTGCGCTGTGGCATCTATAACTGTTGCTTTTGTAGCACTCCACTCCTTTCCTCCAAGGAAAGGAAAGTGGAAAACCAGCTTTTACTACTTTTTATTGAAAGTGAAAGAATTTATTCTTTTTTCGACACCGATAAATCCCTCAAATCTAACCCGACCCACCTCTCTCTCTCTCTCTCTCTATATATTCCTTTTTGGAAAAGAGGAGATAACCTCAAATCTGACTGGATTTTAACACGGAAGCAGGGGAAGTTCAACGGTTCCAAGAATTCAACCTAATTCTAGAGCCCAAAAAAAAAAAAAAAAAATTGAACAGAGGGGAGTGGGGAAGAGACCAAGTTGATTGAGTTCAAAACTCAAGAAACAGCAAGAGGCAAAAAACCGCATTCAACCCTCCCCGCAAAACATAAAGCAAGATTCCACCATTTCTCCCTTACTCTCTTCGACAGAGATAATTATAAAGACGGAGACAAATTCAAAAGCAGAATGAACAACGAAGATTACTGTGGAAATTTACCTCAAAATCTCTTGGACACGAGTTAATACCCTCCGGAACAAGCAGCTAAATTTTCGAGAATTGGAGGATAGAGCTTTAAAGAAGGGTCATGAAGAAGTGCCAAAAACAGAGCAGCTCTGTCCTGAAATGCAAAGAAAAGAAACGAGCGCAGCGCCGTGAAGACGAATGAAGTTCATGGTGGACCTGAGACCTTGTATAGCTTTGGGTGGAAGGGGAGTTCTGGTAGTTGCTTGCTCGATAATGTGAAGAAATGAAACGAGGGAGAAATTTTAATAGAAGGACTATTAGTACTAGTATTAGACAAGATGATATTTTTTTTTTCCTTTCTAGCTCTCAACGAACTAACTAGTTCACTCTCCAGCTTTTGGGAGGCGTGTCTCTGAAGTCTGAATGGTAGATGGTCCTTTTTGACAGATTCCCACTCCCACCGGCCCATATCCGTATGACTTTCAGACGAGCTTCAAATTCATGGCATTAATAGTACGCCGACAACAAATAGAAAAAAGGCAAACGGTTTGAAATGGAATCATGACAACAGAGGAGGAAACGCATATTTCTGTTGATGGCGTAAACAAACGAAATTACTTGTTGACAAGAAGTTGAAAAGACAGGGGGCGGGGCGCTAGTTACAAGTCACAGTAAGCAGTTAGGCAGCTTCTTGCGAAAAAATTGAGTCAACGTCGTACCATTTACTGTACTTACTTAATCATCTTGGATGTCCGGTGGGATTAATCTCTTGTGCTTAAGTTTAATACCACCACAACTTCAAAGCCCATTAAACAGGAGGTGGCAATCAATAATGTACTAGCTAGCTGTACTTGGAGAGCTTATTTAGCACTTGATGGGACTTCTGATGAGAGTATGGTGAAATCATCCAATCCAATCAGAGGCTGAAAAGGAAGTGAAATCAATTCAGCAGCATTTAGCTTTTTACTCTTGACGGAGTAGTATGCTTTAAATGAATGACGTCAGTCCCAGATTTGCAGGGAGAAGGAGGGTAGAGGCGTTCTCGTCCCGATCCCGAATTTCCGGTGCAGATATGTGATTGCAGGATGAAAGACCGAAGAGGGCCCGAGCTCAGGGGTACGTTTGTCCAGATGCTAATGTAGGATGATGTTCTCGATACGACGTGGTCCTCTCCCTGTCACTTTCTTGCGTGGCAGGATTTGGGCAGGTAATTAATATGTCGGACCGGCGAATGATACGTACGTGGAACTGGGCGGTCAACGAGATTTCTCTCTCTGGATCCTATCCCAATTAGCTTGGGCGGGCCTTGGGAAAATTGGACGACAATCTTCTGCAACACGAATTTTGTTCTTCGACAACCGTGCAAAAGAGTTAATGAGGGATGGACATCGGGCACCTCTTTTCAAGGTGGCCCAATGTATCTGAATAAGGACCCATGAAGTGCCCGGGATAAATCCGTTTCCTGTTTCCAAGATAGCCCAAAATGTTAAAAGCCTGATCGGCTCTAGCTCGATAAAAGGGACCTCCTTCGCTCTGAGCAGAGATTTTGAAACAATGCACACACAGATATATCACACGAATTATCTATCTATACACGCTCTCTTTGTCTTTGCAACAAGGGAGAGGTGGAATTTAAAAAATGGGAGATTTTAAATCCAAAACATCTAATTTCTAGACTAAAGTCTGCTCGCAAAATAATATGATCTCATGATTCAAAGAATTGGCATATTGTCCCGCAAGTACCAGCAAATTTTAGGATGATTGACTGTTAATGCACTGATTATTAACTAATTGGATCCACAAATCTAATTTAGATCTAATCTACGGACGTAAAATAGCATTGCTAAAGGGGTAGTAGAATGATTCTTTAGAAAATCTTGAATATTTAGAACATTTATTGAATTGCGGGTTCTTTGCCAAAATTCTAAATTAACAGATGAAATTCCCCCCCCCCCCCCCCCCGTCTATTGAGAAAAAAGAAATAGTCACATATCTCGCTGTGTCCGAAGAGACGTCCATCACATTTGAGTGTGCACCGATCCAACTTCCAAGACCATAACTTATACGCATTTTGTATTATGCTGCCTTATTTAATTAAGTTCAACTATAGCTTACAGATGACAAAGTTTCATACAATAATCATTCTTTCTCAAAGTAATCTCGTAATTATTAATGCCACCTGTTAGGAGGCAAGTTTGGCATCTTGGAATGATTCCTGGAAGCTAGGAACTCACCGCTAGCTAACTTTTGTGCAACTAATTAAGGACCCCTTCGGTTGTCTGTGGCATGGATGGGAATGAAACCTTCCAACAAGTCAACTATAAGATTTGGTGCCCGTGATTTCAACTACCATATGAGAAGAAGATAGAATCAGATACATAGATTTTGCAAATGCAACCTGTGGCAGTCTTGGGACTACCGGGTGACAAAATTTTATAAGCAAGCCGACATGCATGGGGTGTTGATGCATCGGAGGAGCTCCATAGGAGGAAAACAAAATGAAGGCATCCGAAAGTGGTGGTTGGGAATACTTTTCTTTGACGTGAGATTATGATTTATGCAGCGTTACGTCGAGAAGTTCCTCAGAATGAACGTAGCACAGCTGGAGCTAGACGGAAGACCAACAACGCCCATCTCATTTCTAATGCTGAAGGAAGGAAACTGGTGCTGCCACAAAATTGAGTCCTGTGATGTATATGCTGCCAAATATCCAGCCTAACAACTAATTTCTGTGCAAGAAGCTGACACATCAGCCAAACTTAGGTAGGATTAACAACTAGTACTAAGTTGAGAAAATTGTTTGAACGGAGTATTATATTGAAGGGTCTCGATGCAGTTATTTGATTCAAATTCTAGTTTGATTACAAAGACTCTATTTTTATTTTACGGAGCCCCCAACGCAAATGAGGAAATACTTCTCGGAAATTGCCTGGACTTCCCTCCCTGATTTTTTAGAGAATGCATTAAAATTAGGGATAATTTCACAAACGTCCCCTGAGGTTTATGACAATTTTACTCAGCTCCCCTCAAAAATTTCAAATTACACAGACCTCCCTTGTCACAATAAATGACTATAATGACCTTCACTTAATAAATAATTCATAGTATAATGAAATGCGATTAAAAAGAAAAAGAAAAAAAAACCTGACCTTTTCGACTATCATGTTTATAAGTTACAGCAAACGACAATTGTCTCTTATTTTCTATCACTTCGTTCTCATCTATCAACTTGCTTTCAAATTAACACCAACCATTGCCTATAATTGTAGCCAATCACACCACAAGTAATCCCTCAAACTCTACTACATATTTCTATTCCTCCTTTCTTTCCTTTGAAATTGCCAAATCACAAGTTTAGTTGATAGATTAGATTTGATGGTTGAAATGAAATTCGATTTCATGATCAAACTAAAAGGAGATGAAGAGACACACAATAATAATGAAACAAATAACGCAATCATTGGCCAAAAGAGGAAGAGGGATTGAAATTGATAAATTTGCTAATTTGCCTATCATCCATCCAAAATTTTTTTAAAAATGTTAATAAGTACATTTATATTTCTTTTTATGCTTGACAATTGTTGGTTGTGGTTTCGTTATAAAAATAGAGTTTCTTCTCTATATTTAAGACGTTCACATGTTTGGAGATTTGATGGTAGGTTATATTATTTTATTTTGAGAAGGTGTAGGCATTGGATTTGAAATTTGGGGTGTCATTAGTTGTAAATAGAAATTTGATTTTTGACAAAATGAATTTCTTGAAAATATTTATAGCCATAATGATGTCTTTCCTTCTGTTAAACTTGATTAATTCCATCCATGCCTAAATCTCTCCTAAGGATTTCCTTCAAAATTATAATGTGGTTCATGTAGGAGGAGTTGAACCACTTATATGGAACCAAACCATGGCATCCTACATTGAAAATTATGCAAATATAAGAGCAGTTGATTGTGAGTTTGACCATTCCATGGAACCATATAGTGAAAATATTTCTGAAGGATGGAATGGACTTTCAGAATTGAATGCATTTTTTGGGAGAAGCAATTTTATGACTAAAATGTTGGAATTGCTTGTGTTTGGAATTTGGAAATAGACTATTTGTTAGGTTAGTTTGTTAGTATAGTGCGTTTGGTTGAAATATGGAAGAAAGCAATTGACAACATAATTTTTGTTTTATTTTTGTACAGAAAGGGTAGTTTAGGATTTTTAAGAAAAATATAGTCTTTTGGGCCTATATTATTATATAAACAGTAAAAGTAAGGGAGGAAGGTGTAATTTAATAAACTTGAGGAGAGTTCTCTGCAATTATCATAAACCTCATGGGTGGTTTCTAGAATTATCCCTTAAAATTATTACAAAGTGAAGGAGACGTGAAGTCTTGAAATATTTTGACAATAATCATCCTTGAAGTCGTTAACTTGTAAATTCTGAAGTCCGAGGATAATCAACTAAAATTGATCTGCCAATCTCAATTATTTGGACATTTGATTAAGCAACTCGCTCCCTCAAGTTAACTACTTTTACAGGCTCTTCTTTCCAACTAATTAGTTATCTATCAATTTCAGTTGAGTGTCTGACATTGATTGACGCAAATTTTAGAAGTCAGAAGGCACGAATCATATATATTTTCCTTTGTGGAATTTAAAAGACTAAACTAAGCTGCAAGCAAGAACATGAAGGTTCAAATTAGAAGCAGCCCAGCAACGAATTCCTAAAGGCATACTCCTCTAATTATCGTAGCGCTTGTCTCATAGGTGACCAATGGACACGTATAAAGAGAAGCCTTATGTGTTAGCTTTTCGAAAAAGTAAATTAAATCAAGAAGTATTTATATGCAAAGGAGTAATAAAATTGGACTAATTGGCGCCAATTGAGCACTCTTTACAAAATCCATTTTCATAACCACTGACCTTTAACTCAGTGGCCACCACCTCTCCTGGTGGGGTGAGAGGTCAGGGGTTCAACCTTTGCCTCCTATCAAATTGTCTGCCTCTCATGAGTAACTCAGTTGGTCTCAGCAAGTTTTCTTAGAAGGTGGTGTCTAGTGCCCGCAAGAATCTGAATCCTGTGGTTATCGTGTTCGGGAAGATGGGGCCTCTCCTTCCGGACCAGAGTGGGATTAGTCGGGCCCCGTAAACATTGACTCGGACACCCACTCCGTTAGAAAAAAAAAAACCCATTTTCATGAGCTACAAAGCTAACTAGAGGAGATAGGGAGGCGCAAACACCCTAGTTGTGTCTCAATAATTTTGGTTCTCAAGAAAGTTGAAAATTGATGCTAAAGGTTTGTTCGTCTTTTTCTTAAAAACTGATATTGATTTGTATTGCACTACTTTTTCCCCTTTTTTGATCCTTAGGCGTGCAACTTTGCACTGCCATTCTATACATTCTACTCATCCTTTATATAAATAATTTGTTACTCGAAGCAAATTCCCTTCCTTCCCCAGCGTGATCATTTTGATGAAGTTTATAGGACCCTGTTAAACTATAAAGTTCAAGGAGAATCATCACTGATTTTTAGATGTGTACAAAAGAAATCCACAGCCGGCTAAAGACACTGCAGCTTCCATGCAAAAGAAACCGGTTGACTGAGCTAGCTCATTTGCAAAATTTTATTACGAGTAAGAAATTTACAATCAGCAGCCAGAATTAGTCCAAGAAAACA